AATCTGGCTAAACTGACTTAGCAGGGTTCTTTGCAAATATTGTCTTCCACAGTCCAAGGATGAAGACCCTTTCTAGTGTCTACTCAAGGAGAGTCTTGTGAACCAGCAGATTTAAATTTGGGCAGCTAGTGTGTGTGTGTGTGTGTGTGTGTGTGTGTGTGTGTGTGTGTGTGTGTGTGTGTGTGTGTGTGTGTGTGTGTGTGTGTGTGTGTGTGTGTGTGTGTGTGTGTGTTTCTGTGTTTGTGTGTGTACATGCACATGTGTTTAATTGTGGAAATGGAAGAGGCAGAAACAAGTGTATTTTCAGATTAGGCAGGTCGCTCCTCCTGGCGGCACAGAGATTTATCCCCACGCTATCTAAAAATGTGACCCATCAAAGTTGTGCTTCATTTGTTTTTTTCTTTTGGAAATATAGCTATAATCTGCCCACAGGAACAACCAGGCAGAGAAATTTAAAACAAATGAGACGGGGAGTGGCCCACATACACTACTGTACTTATCTGTTTCCTCCTGCAGGATGCCATCTTGACTCACCCCTGCCATGTTGGGGCAATCTGCATACTAAGCCCTCAGGGCGAGACCTCTGTGGACCTCAAATGGGCCCTGAGAAGACGCTGAGGATCCAGCCCCTGTCTTGAGCAGCCTGTGGTCTGGGAGAGAAGGTGGGAAAGCAAACACTCCCAGGGCCCTGAGGAACAGGAGGATGGGGGGACCTGGGGCACAGTGTGGGGGGAGGAAAGAAGGAAAGGGGAGGGGGTTAAGTAAGGGTAAAACAGGAAAGGAGCGTGAGGGTTATTGTTCCAAAGGAAGGAACTAGGAGGTTGGATACCAAGCGTGCTACTACCTATGTGTCACCAGCCACAGAACTCAGGCAGACGCTAATCAATCCCACAGAACAGACCATCTAGAGCAGCGGTTCTTAACCTTCCTAATGCCGTGACCCCTTAATATAGTTCCTCATGTTGTGGTGACCCCCAACCATAAAATTATTTTCGTTGCTATTCTATAACTGTAATTTTGCTACTGTTATGAATCGTAAAGTAAGTATCTTTTTGTTTTCCGATGGTCTTAGGCGAGCCCCGTGAAAGGGTAGTTCGACCCACAGGTTGAGAACTGCTGATCTAAAGCCCATTGAGCGAAGAGATTCCATTGTAATGGCCATTCCCATAATTAAACCTACAACAAACTAGCCTCGGGCTGTACCTTACAAAAGTTTAAGATAAACCTGCCCTATTCTCCTTGTACCTTGCAGAAGTTACATTTTATCAATGTTCTTCTTTCCTCCTTTTCCCCAGACCAGAAATTTCCCACGGAAACAAAAACACATATAAACCCTACCCCTGTGGGCAGAGGGGGTCTCTCTTCCACTAGCGTATAGAGACCTCCACTCCATGTGTGGAATGGCCTTTCCTTACTTACTCTCTGCTAAATAAACTTACTTGCACCTTGAACTCTATATTGGCTCGTATTTGAATCCTTTCCTACATGAAGCCAAGGACCTTCCTGGCCCAGGGCTCAAGTCCCCACCTGGGGGATTCGCTCCTCCAGCATCAAGAGAAGCTTTCCTCCGTCTCTCCTCCCTGCCTCCACTCCTGATCATAGGAGCGTTTGTTTTGCTGCTGTATTTAATCCCAGTACTTTTCCAGGGCCTAGCTGACTGCTGGCAGGTAGATGCTTAAAAAGACTCAGCGAATGAACAAACCCATCCTTCCTCTAAGAATGTGGAAAGAAGGCACCACTCTGTGACTTCATGAGCTCCCAGTTGGCGTGGCAATGCTGCCTCCTGTCTGCTGCTGCTCTTTTGTATTCTGAGGCACCAACCGCATCCCCAAGACATTGATGAGGATGTCCAACCCCAATGTGAAGGAAGGGCATTAGCTCTGCAGGGAAGAAAAAAAACCTTTTCCTCTTCCCTTCTAGGTTCCCCAGCTGCAAATTAGAGTCACAAGACACCGATTAAGAGAGTTTACTAATGTGTGCAGAGCACAGAGACAGGGAAAACTCAGTGATGAGTGACTCAAAAGGGTGGTTAGAACTTGGGTTTGTGTGGCATCTTAATGTAGGGGTCAGAGCCAGTCGTCTGAGATGTGCCTCTGTGGTAGGCACAACACGGTGAGCTAAAGGACCCTCTGGGCTCAAGAGATACTTCTGCTTTCCCTTAACTACCTTAGAAGTATGTAAATTGGGAGCCATGCCCATTATAAGAGTTATTACCAGAAACAACATGAAAAGAATCAAAATTTTGCTACCATGAAGCTGACTTTAATTAAGCTCTTGAGTAAGAAAGAAACAAGCCTCAGAAAGAACCTCTGACCCTCCCCCCTATTTCCTGCCTGAGAGATTCAGACAGAAGCCTGCTTCAGGAAGGAAATCTTAGAAAGCTGCCTTAGCCTCATTTGAATTAAGTATGGTAAATAAGAGGACATCAGGCAGGCACCTGTTAGCTAGATACCCTCTGTGTCCCGTTGTTTCTGGGTTGCCCAGCAAAAATGTTCCTGCCCTGTGTGTTCCCTCTTTCTCAAGCACCTGTAAATCGCCCGTTCTTACTTTTGAAATCTAATACCCCCCTCTTTTCTTGCTCTTTTGTCCTAAATGTCTTATAAACCCAATGCTGCCTCACTGTCCTTGGAATTTTCATGCTTCTGTGAATTCCCCATGTCCATGTATTAAACATTTAATTTTCTCCTCTTTTTTTTTTTTAAAGATTTTATTGGGGAATTAGGGGAGGGGAACAGACAAGTTGCTATCTTTTTGTTCTTCAGTCTAGTTGTGGAGGACGTCGCTTCACTGGCCCATGTTGGTATTATCATTGCGCTCTTTGTGGGTGAGACAGTTGCTCGCTGGCCATTAATGGCCGCTCACAGCGGCTCACAGCAGCTCAAGAAAGCCCATTCCCGCTGTGGGCCAGCACGACTGCAGCCTACATCATCGCCTGCAGCTCATAGCAGCCCAGCTCCAGGTCAAGCTGTTGTTCACCATCTTAGCTGTAGAGGGCGCAGTGTCACTGGTCCTCATGTGGGATCCGAACCGGGGCCCTGCTGCTCAGAGCTGGCATCCCAAGCCAACTCCTAAGCAATGTGCCACCCAGCCGGCCCTGATTTTCTCCGCTTAATCTCTCTTTGTTATTTTGATTATTAGCCCAGCTAGAACTTAGAAGGCGGGAGGGAAAGTATTAATTTTTATTTTAGCCCCCACACGTTTTATGACCTATCTATATGGCAGGGCAAACTACTTATTAGTGAACATCTGCTGTTCTTATCATCCTGCAGATTACTCTCCTCCCATCTGAAGCTTCAGGATGTCACAAATACCTCATTTACCTTTCTGGCTCTGAACCTCTCATGTATGTGGGATCTCTGGCTCTCTCAAGTTTGTGGGGTTCCCATGCACAAGACATTATATTTGATTTTCTCCTCTTAATGAGTCTTATGTCTTTTTAATTATTCAACCAGCTGAAAAAACCAGAGGAGGAAAGGGGAAATTTTCCCCTCCTCACATTGACAATCAACAATAAATCTGTCAACTAATGAAAAGGTGTTTAGGTTTTAGTGGTGGCAAACTTGGGGAGGTAAATATGTGAAGGAACTCATGGAAAACAAGAGTTGTTTTAGTAGGTTTGTTATGTAGATTCCTCTCCTGCCATCTTTGGGCTGGTAGGAGTATTGGGGTCACCTCATATGATTAAATAAGAGTCCAGGTCATACTCTTCCTGGTACACTTTAAAATGGGGATTTATGTCATGCTTTTAGGCAGATGAGGGGAGGGCAGAGAAGTTTGTTTGGCATCTGCTGCTTCCCAATTGTCTTCAGCTCAAAATAACCTTTATGCTAAGGTGGCACATTTTGGGGTGGCATGTTCTGATCCCCACAGCTCTTAATAATTCCAAATTTTGAATGGTGGCCACATCTACAGTGCCCTGGCTTCAGCACAATCATGGTGAACCAGAATTGATATTCCAGTAGTCTAGCCGAGTTTAGATTTCTGACACTGTCACTTCCAGTTGGAGAGCTGTGTACAAGCTCCTCAGTATCTCTGGGTCTCAGTTTACTCATTATTCAGTGGAGATATAATTCTAAATACCTCCTAAGGCTATTGTAAAAACAAAATGAATTAACATATATAAAATACTTTGCACACTACCCAGCACATGGTAAGTACTGCATAAATATCGCCTATTGTTATTTAGACACGGAGAGTTTAGCAATAATATGTAGTTATAGAAACCCTGTGATCTTTGGGGTGAGTGTATTTCTTTACAGATTATATGTGGATAAAAAAATTTCAATCTTGCTGAAAGAAGCAACAAACTTTATTTAGTCCCAGACAGAAAACCATGGGTAAAGAAAATTTCATACTAACCTAATTTACAAGGAAGGACACAGAGAAAAAAGAACTTTGATAATATCATGGTAGGATTTATTCAATTTAAAACAAAAAAACTACAAAGATAGTAAGTCAGTCACTGATTAGGTTAATGATATCATATCACTTTATAAAAATTTAATCTTTCATTGCCTGATAATATTTTTAATCCATTAATTAATTTATTGAAATTAGTACTGTATAATACTCTTTAAGTTATTTTTATTTAAAATATTTTTCAATTACACTTGACATATAGTTTCAGGTGTACAACATAGTGATTAGACATTTATATAACTTATGAAGTGATCACTCCAATAAGTCTAGTACCCATCTGACACCATACATTGTGGCAATGGGCCCTAGACAAAGACCTTCCCAGACCATGTGGTCACCAAGGGTTTTGCGTGGGCTTCAGACAAAGACATTCCTGAACTGTACGGTCAGCAAAACTTCCGCGTTTAACATTTCCAAATTCCTACCTCACCTGAAAGCCAGTCAGGAACTGGCACAATGGCCACATGTCCTAATAAGGAACCCGGAAACCTCAGGGTATATAACCCCCAAGTCCCGCCCAGGTCAGGGCTCAGCCTCTGGATGTGAATCCGCTGAGCCAGTCCCGGCATTAGTAAAAGTTGCTTCCCACACCTTGGTGTCCTGTCTCTTTGTCTGGGTTCCCTGCAACAACATAGTTATCACAATATTATTGACTACATTCCCTATGATGTACTTTACATCCCTATGACTGTTTTTATAAGGAGATCATTTAATAACATTTCAAAGGGGCACCTCATCAATTGTATCACCAGGCACACTGGGGTTGAGAAATAGGACAAAAAAGTTACTAAGTCATAGCGCCCCACCCTCCAGAACACTTACCTTCTCTTCTTCCTCATACATTTTGGAGTAAGGGGTAATGAAAGGAGCAGTTTCTAAACTAATCTTGTAAAACTAGCTAGTGTTCCAGATAATGGAATATTTCTCAGCACTAAAAAGAAACGAGGTATGAAGCCATGAAAACACAGAGGAAACAACTGCATATTATTGCGTGAAAGAAGCTAATCGGAAAAAACTACATACTGTATGATTCCAACTCTACAATATTCTGGAAAGGCAAAACTAATGAGACAGCAAAAAGTTCAGTGGTTGCCAGAGGTTAAGGGGAGGTAGGGATGAATAGGCAGAGCACAGAGGATTTTTAGGGCAATGAAACTGTTCTATATGACACCGTAATGGTGGATACATATCATTATACATTTGTCCAAACCCTTAGAATGTACAGCAAAAGTGACCCTAATGTAAACTGGACTCTGGGTGATGATGACATGTCAGTGTAGGTTCATCAACTGTAACAAATGCACCACGATTGCGGGATGTTGATAGTGGGGGATGTATGTGTGGGGGCATATGGGGAATCATTATACATTCTCAATCTTGCTGTGAACCTAAAACTACTCTAAAAAATAAAGTCTACTTTCTAAAACTATACTGAAGATGTGGAAGGATAACTTTACAACAAACAGATCTGCTCAAAGTTCTAATGAAACTTGTTTACAGTAAAATATTAGTTAGGGCTAGCAATAGTGCCAATAAAATGAGTTTGTGTCAGAAAAATTTGAAACTTAGTGTGAAAGTGTAAGGCTGAAATTCGGTAAATTGACAACATAATTAGATTCAGCTAGCTTGCAGTTTGATTCGCAGCATAGCTCGCAATCTAGGCACTTGTAGTTAGACTTGGTTTGCAGCTCGATCCACCCTGATATTCAGCTGTTTCCCCTTTGTTTTCCCTCACTGATTAACTGAAGAACTGTTTCATTCCCTTTCTCAAGGCCACACATACCTAGTTAATCCATTTAATTAACAAAATCCTAAACTGGAAAGGGCAATTTCTTAATCCTCAGGCACCCAGACACCAGAATACACATAAAGCCCCAGGCCTCGGTGGTCCAGTCCGAGTCTGGAGTCCAGAGATAACATTATCTTAAAACAGGCCAGACCCCAGGAAGGATGTCAGCCCTCGGACCTGCCTGACCAACTCCCCCTTTCCTTTGTTCTTCTTCTGTACCTATAAAACCTTCTGACCAGGCTAGGAACAGGCTAGGAGATGGCCTTTGGACAGGAGTCTGCCATCCTCCCAGAATGCCAGCATCCTGAATAAACCTGCTTTTCTTTCCACCAACCATGTCTCTCAATTTTTAACTTTTGCAAGCTGCAGGCAGCTGGACCTTAGCTAGGTATCAAAAGTAGAATAAATGTGCACTTACAAAAAATACTGCCTTAATGTAAAGTTTCTTTGATAAAATGGGGGGGGAAATGTGGAGAAATCATGTTTCTGAGGAAAAATTTACAAAAAGGAAAGAAAATGATGTTGTTAATCATATTTAGAACTGCCGTGACCATTGTTTTTTACTTGACACCTTTGCATGGGCTCCTCATCTGTGCATCAGAGCTGCCCTCTGGGCATCCATCACCCACTAGATCATCACCTGACTTGGGCATCAAGCTGGTGCCGCTCAGGGACCCGGGGCGTGGCTAAGTAGAGTGACCCTCTGGGCACTTACCTTAATTTAAATACACGTGGCTTCTGGTCATGGATTATGCAGACTTGGACAGACAAGGAGAAAATTACAAGCATGCTGAAAACCTTCCTTTAAGTCTCCAACTACTGTGTGTTGTTCCAGACTTCCCTGCGGCTCTGAGAAACAGACATGGCATTTATTGAATGGATGAATTGGAGAAGGAAAAAGGGGTCCAAAATGCTGTAACCAGAGGCCAAACGAGTCCAGGGCTCGTGCTGCCTGCGACGTTCAGCCAATAGATCGACACAGGAATTGGGTCATAGAATAAGCATTTATTATCAGAGAACCAGTGGTCTGAGAAGGCAGCGGGTTAACACGTCCAAAAGTGCCTTAACATTCTCAGACCGGCTGGGGGTATTTAAGGGAAAATCAGAACATTCTCTCAGAGGCTGCATGACGTCCTGGAGGTCTGTTCTCCTTTCATGATGCCCTCCTCTGTCATCTCTTGTGGCGCCTGCAGTCAGGTAACGATAGGGGAGTAACCTGGGAAAACGCTAAGTGATCAAGTTTGTAATTAGCAAACATCTACAAGGTGATCTTCTAAGATAAGGAGCTGGAACAGGGCAGGGCATCCAGGAGGCATTCTGTGTACAGGGGGCCCAGCTGGGCCCTGCTTCAGTGCCTCTTAGCTGTGGCAAGAGATTTGATTAATAGTACCTCCTTTTGAGATAGGGAAATTATAGGCAGTCAGGGAAATTGCCACGGTAGAGGAAATCAGGGTGGAAACCATAACAAAGCCAAAAAAATAATTTCAATAGCTGACAGACAGGTTTAAGCCCCAGGACCCGCCAGAGTGACAAACTCAGGTGAGGGAGGAAGGGAAGGTTTTTTTTTCAAGCCGTTGACAAAAGGTCAGGGATCCCCAGGTAGAATGCATATCTTCAGGGAGGTTGATTAGCATAACATTGGGTAAAATGCATATCCTCAAAGCCTCAGACTTCCCCTTTAGAAGTCCCGGATTTGAGCTAAGTTACTTCTCTCAGTACAGAGAAATAATTCAGCTGATTTAGCTCTAAGGAAATTAGAGCTTTTCAAGAAAAACACCTCCTCCGGGCTGAGCAGCGAATGTAAATCTGAAAAGCACCAGTTTTTTTCCTCCCCAGGCATACAACAAATATATACAGAGAAGTTTCCCATTTAGCTAGTGGGCAACCTGGTCAGGACCCCCTCTGTTTTGAGAGCTGTTACTTTCTGCCCTAATAAACTGTCCTCTGTTGCAAACTTTACCTCTCTGGTACATGTCTCCATTCTTCGGCTCTACAAGACCACGAATCCCGGCTCACAAACACTCAGCAGAAAAAATCCTGCTTTACTTTCACAAGTGGCACTTAGAGTTTCTTTCTTATCAACACCTTCCGTTAAAGGAGAGAAAATGTTTGCTCTTGTAAAAAGGTCAAGTGCTTGCCACTGCCACTGGCCATGACTTCCCCGCAAGGACGATGCAATTCTTTTGCTTAGAATGTTCCAAAGCAGCCCCTGAGACAGGAAGTCCCTTGAGAGCACTGGAAACTGGCAAAAACATCTCCATCTGTAACACCAACTTTGGCTGTGCTGATGATGCTCTGGACGTAGCTGAGAGTTTGGAGTCCAGCAGCCAGCGTCCCACCATCTTTTCCCGGTGCTCTCAGGGTCTAAGGCCAGCAATGGGCCATGGGTTCCTTGTGAACCAATGCTAGGCCACAGTGAGAGCTCTCGCACACATGCCCTGCTGTGCCGAACTTCAGGACAATTACTGAGCTAGTCCTTCTAGGCCAGTGATGCCTTGTATCAAGGAGGTGATTCAATTGGAAAGCTGGAGAATTGCAGAGCGGCCCCTAGTCTTGGTGGAAGTGGTGGGTGGGCCTGTATCACAGCCAATGCAGGAATTACAGCGCAGCTGCAAGCGTGTGAGTTAGCTGGCCAATGGAGAGGGAGGGCTCCCTGGTTGGGGTGAGGCAAATGTGAATTGCAAAGAGCTTTCAGTTTCCCCAGTGAAAATAAGAGAAGAGGCTTCTTCCTTTCCCTTTTCTTTCAGAATGTCTTTGTCCTTTTCAAATGCATGTTAAGTCTTTAATGGCCAAGTAAGCCTCTTGCCAATCTTGGAGGAATGTTTCCTGAGGGCCTGAGCTTGGGCCTCTTTGAAAAGTCATCATCCAGGCAGAGAAACCCCTATCCCCCAGTGCCCCAGGAGGAGGTGGGCCGGCCTTGTCACCTGACTCCAGATGGCAAAGCCTACCTAAAGTGAGGGGTTATGTGCTCAGAACACCAAAGAATAAAATTTCTTTCAGTCTTTGCAATCCTTTTAGTGGGTCACACTCTGGTCTAATGCTTATTTGATAATAACATTTTCTTTCTGTACTACCTTTGTGGAATGATTTTCTGGGGTGGGAGATTTTGTTTGCAATTATACTTCCCTGACACTAGCAGAGAACAACTCTCAGTGTACCTGCACCAGAGCACCTGCAGATGGATGCAGACTTTTGGCTCCACCCCAGCGGGAGCTCCCCTCCCAGGGGTGCTCTGGAAAAGACCGAGGCCCAGAGGGAGCCCAGCCAATTACCATCAGTCAGAATCTCTGTGGTAGGGCTGGAAAATCAACATTTTAAATAAATTTCCTAGTAGATTTCCAGTGTGTAGGCACAGCTGAGATTTGCAGCTCTGGGAAACCAAACAAACCCATTCTCAGTGATGCCCCATGTCTTCCTGTTCCAGGTCTCTCAGGCTTCTCTGTCTCCTTGTCCTTTCCAAGCCTTTGAAAACAATAGGTTGCTTTTAATTTCATTTCACTTAAGTCAGCTCACAATGAGAAAACTTAAGATAGCTATTCTAAGTGCAGGGGAGGAAAAAGTTGTCCTCAACTCTCACAGGGTCCCTGGCTTAGTCTGAAAATTAAACTGATAAAGGCAGAATAACAGGAGAAAAGCATACAAATTTATTTAATATACGTTTTACATGACGTGGGAGCCTTCATAAAGACATGAAAACCCGGGGCGGCCGGGTGGCTCAGTTGGTTAGAGTGTGTGCTCTAAACAACAGGGTTGCCGGTTTGAATCCCACATGGGCCATTGAGCTGTGCCTTCTGCAACTAGATTGAAGACAACTTAAGCTGAGCTGTCGCTGAGCTGCCAGTGGGTGGCTGGGTGGCTCAGTTGGTTAGAGTGCGTGCTTTTAACAACAAAGTTGCCGGTTCAACCCCCGCATGGGATGGTGGGCTGTGTCCCCCACAACTAGTTTGAAAATGGTGACTGGACTTGAAGTTGAGCTGCGTCCTCCAAAACTAGATTGAAAACAATGACTTGACTTGGAGCTGATGGCTCCTGGAAAAATACACTGTTCCCCAATAAAGTTTTTTTTTTTAAATGAAAACTTAAAGAAATCGTTAAACTTGCGTTTTTATGCTAGGGTTGGTGAAGAGTGGATGACTGTGGAGGAATATGACAGGACAAGAGTAAGAAGTCAGTGTAGTGAACGGGAAGACAGCAAGTCCTGTTCATTCAGAATCTTCTCAGCATCCCTCTGTCTTGGAGCTAAGGAGGCTCCTTTCCTTCAGGTACAGGGAGGGTCCCTTTTACTCGAGAGCTTTATGACCTGCTCCAGGGGAAAGGAGAGGTCAGGGAACCCTTCCAGCACCTACCATTTCTCAAATTCCCTCACCTTAAAATATTCAGTATGCCAAGGTGCAAAGATGTCCTGAATCCCATTAAAAGGAATTATTACTAGGGGCCAGCTGAGTGGCTCAGTTGGTTAAGAGCTCACTCAAGAGTGCGAGCTCTGAGCAACAGGGTTGCCGGTTCAATTCCTGGCCAGAGCTGAGCTGCCACTGAGCTGCCACTGAGCTGCCAACAGGCGGCAAGATGGCTCAGCTAAAAAAAAAAAAAAAGAAAAAAGAAATCATTATTTTAAGTTTATACTGAAAAATCTAACTATGAGTTAAGTTTTTTCTAATGCTTCAAAGCTTAGAAAATTCAATGTGAACTTCTTAAGACCATAGCCCTGTTAAAGAAAAAATTATTCTGACACTTGTTAAGACAATAAGGAAAACTTTATTCAGGACTATGGCAATAAATGTCAAGGCTATTATAACAGGGCTAAGAGATCGGGCCCAACTCTGAATGCAGGAAAGAGGCCTGGGGTTTTACAGCCAACAAGAAGAGTAGAAGTTAAGTACATGGAGAATCACTGAGAGGAGATATCCAGAGTGGGCGATTCATGCTAAAACTACTTAACAAAATTCTTGCTGAAGGCAGGCTGGGGTGGTCAGACATCAAGAGTACACAGGGTGAGCAGATAGTGAAGGAATTAGAATATGCCACCCCCAATATGCCACTTTGGTATATTGTTTATTTTAAGCTGAAGACACTTGAAAAACAACAAATATAGAGACTTTCTCTGAAATTCCCTGATTCACCTAAAGAAAGAGTCTCCAAAAGTAACTGTATTGTCCTAAATCTTCTCTCTTTGTCCACCAGGAGAGGATACTAGAGGTGACCACCACACCCAGACAAAATTTGTCCCAAACCTCCTACCTATTCTTTCAAGGGCCCAGTCATCTTTCCTAAAAATCATTGACTCTCTCCTAAGAGGCCCACATCCCCTATCTTTTCCCCTTTATTAAGGTGGTATATATGGGCCGGCCGAGTGGCTCTGTTAGTTAAGAGCTCACTCAAGAGTGTGAGCTCTGAGCAACAGCAGTTCGATTCCCAGTCTGAGCTAATCTGCTGCTGAGCTGCCAACAGGTAGCAAGATGGCTCAGCAAAAAAAAAAAAAAGAAAAAAAAAAAGATGGTATATAGAGTTTCACTGCTTTTTTTGTTTATTCACTTTTTTCCTGTGATGCCGTCATACATACAATATTAAAAATGAATACATTTTTATGCCTTTTCTCCTGCTAATCTGCCTGTTGTCAGTATATTTTATAGACCCAGCCATGGAACCTAAGAAGGCAGAGGGAAATTCTCTCCTCCTGTACAATATCAAAGGTGGGGAATTTTCTCTTGACTGACTCAGCAGGATTTTCTGTTTGTTTCTTTGTTTGTTTCGAAATCTTTTCATCATTAGGGCATTTATTACACTTTTTTCAGAACAAGTATAATTTATAGAAATTATACAGGAAACTTTTTATTAAATATCAGTATCTAGCAATGTTTTGTTTAGCTGAAATTTATTTCAATTGTAAAAGCCATCTCTGATTATAAAAAATAGTAAAAAACCTTATTAAATTTAACTTGCTTTTACAAATGCCTCAAGAAGCTTTTTTCTTTCTTTCTAGATTTTACTGGGGAATTGGGGGGAGGAGACAGTGTTGGGGAGTTGGGGAAGGGGAACAGCCAAGTTGTTGTCCTTCAATCTTAGTTGTAGAGGGCACAGCAAGCTCAGCTCCAAGTCCAGTTTCGCCGCTCAGCTCAAGTTGCTGTGTTCAATTAGTTGCGGGTGGGCGTAGCCACCATCCCACGTGGGAGTCAAACCAGCAGCCTTGTTGTTAAGAGCTTGCACTCTGTTCCCTGAGCCACAAGGGCAGCAGCTCAGCTCAAGGTGTCAAGTTCAGTCTTTAGTTGTGGGCAGGCATAGCCCACCATCTTGAACAGGCAACCTTGTTGTTAGGAGCATGTGCTCTCACCAGCTGAGCCATCCTGCCACCTTTGGCAGCTCAGCTTGGGTGCAGCTCACTGGCCCATGCGGGGATCAAACTGGCAACCCTGTTGCTCAGAGCTCACACTCTTTTTTTTTAAAGATTTTATTGGGGAATTGAGGGAGGGGAACAGTGTTGGGGAATTTGGGGAAGGGGACCAGCCAAATTGTTGTGGAGGGCACCAGTTGCCATCTGGCTGCCCACCGGCAGCTCGTGGCCTCCAAGCTCAAGGTGCTGTGCTCAATCCCAGCTGCGGGTGGGCACAGCCACCATTCCATGTGGGAGTTGAATCAGCAGCCCTGTTGTGAAGCGCTCACGCTCTATCCACTGTGCCATCCGAGCGGAACTCAGCTCAAGGTGCCGGAGCTCACACTCTTGAGTAAGCTCTTAACCAACTGAGCCACTCGGCCACCACACCCAACCCCCAAGAAGTCTTAAGCTAAACTATTTTAAGTAGAAAAACACTAATTTTTAAATAGTTTGGTATACTACTCCTATGGTTTATATACACATAGTACCTGGGTTTTTTAATAGGAAACCTGACTGGAAGTTTATCACATTAAGCGTTCTAAACTAAGACAAGAGTTAATCACCTTTTAACAAAAATACTCTGTATGCAATAATTACAAGTATCAAAGATATTATTTATTGGTTGATAATTGACTGCTACAAAATATGAAACAAAATACATTTACTGGATTGTTTCTCATAGTGCAGGCACCCCAAATGAGGATTTTCCATAAGTAAAAGCTGCAAAGCAATTCATGTAGTGATTAATTTAGGTCAATTCTTTTTTTATCCCTGTTATTCTTTCCTTCTTCCTCACTGCCTCTACCCCCTGCAGTGGCACCATATTATCAAAAACATTAAGTACCTGGAATTTATGTGTCATTTGAGTTATTTCAAATGATGTACAGCTCTTCATGTAAAAAAGATGTTTGACTCAGCAGGATTTTAGATACAATCTTCCAAGATGGAATCAGGATGAAACAGAAAACCTAAACAGACTGATTACTGCTAACACAGTCGAATCAATAATCAAAAAACTCTCCACAAACAAAAGTCCTGACCGGATTGCTTTACAGGTGAATTTTACTAATATTCAATGAAGAATTAACACCTATCCTTCTCAAGCTATTACAAAAGTTCAAGAGGATGGAAGGCTCCCAACCTCATTTTACGA